TGTTTAGAAAGTGATTTTGTTTTCAAATTATATTTAATGCACCTTGATTTAAGCTGTTTTTTTTTAAAAAAATAGTTTTATTTTTAAATTAATTTAATATCTGAATAATGTAATAGTGTAACAAATACACTGTAACAAAAACAGTGTTCTGTAGTTTTGTGTATGTGGTAACAAATTCAAAATGGAGATGAACTATTTTGAATGAAATTATATGAAACTATATGTTTGACAAAATGTAATAGTACAATATTTTGTGTAAATAGTTTGTTACACTGTTATTGTTATATTATTACATTGTTATTGTTACACTGTTATACCTTTATTGTTACATTGTTATTGTTATACTATTATATTATTCGAATATTAAATTAATTTGAAAATAAAATTACTTTCTAAAAAAATGCATGAATCAAGGTGCATTAAAAGATAATTCAAAATTTAGATAAGAGANGTTACATTGTTATTGTTACACTGTTATTGTTATACTATTATACTATTCGGATATTAAATTAATTTGAAAATAAAATTACTTTCTAAAAAAATGCATGAATCAAGGTACATTAAAAGATAATTCAAAATTTAGATAAGAGATTTAACAACAAGTATATACATACATACATACAGAAGTATATATATATAAAATTTATGACGCATAAATCAATGTGTATTAAAATATAATTTACATACATATACGTTTTTATATACAAATTTTGAAATTTAAACAAGTATATATATATGTATTAAAGTTCTCTCATAAAACTAAGAGATGTTTAATGCACCACTTTTCAAAGAAAAATGGTGCATTAAATACACATGGATTNGAAGTATATATATATAAAATTTATGACGCATAAATCAATGTGTATTAAAATATAATTTACATACATATACGTTTTTATATACAAATTTTGAAACTTAAAAAAGCATATATATATATGTATTAAAGTTCTCCCATAAAACTAAGAGATGTTTAATGCACCACTTTTCAAAGAAAAGTGGTGCATTAAATACACATGGATTAATGGAGGGCAAAAATATCACAAAAAAATCAGTAAAATTCAAATAATGTACTTAGATACAAATAAGTATTAAAATTAATGATTTAATTACCCAACATTTTTTTCTATATACTTTTTAACAATTAAGTCTAATTTAGTGTACTTCCTACCAATTTTCCCTTCAGTTAATGACTGCACTATAATATCATAATCGAAATGTTCTTTCTAAGCTTGGGCTTGGCATGCTAAATTCATTGGGCTATTTTTCTTTTTTTTTAAGGCCGTGGTTGGCTATGGGCTGGGCTAGGCTAGGTCAGCGAACACTAAATGCTCAACTGCTCATACAATCAAAATCCTTCGGACTGGTCAACTATTCACGCAATTAAAATCCTACTAACAAATTAAATTTTGAGTTTACCAATATTTTGGTTGTAATTCGATCTCAAGTGCACATTTAAAATATATTAGAGTAAATTAGATATCTAATCATTAAACTATGACTCTTGTGTCAATTAAATCTCTAAATATTTATTTATTTTTTTTATCAATTGAACTCTTCTGTCTGCGTCTATTAGAATTGCTAACGAAAAGTGGTGGAGTATGTCACTCATGTGATCAGATTGTAATTCATTTGTGTCACGTGAGGAGCACACTTCGTCACTTTCTGTTAGAAAATTTAACACTTGGCATGTACAATTATGCCAAGATAACACCAAATAAAATTACCATAGTACTTACCCCCCCAAGAAAAATAGAAATAAGAAAAAGAAAAAAAGAGATATTTAGTAAGATTCTATGGTAATAAAAAGTTACCACCGAGTTATGCTACTAATCCTTGTTTCTGCAAATAAAAAATATGAAAAGTGGCCTCTCTAATTTTACAAGAATTGGAAGATCTTCTGACTCTTTTTGAATGGTCAAGATTTATACACATAAATAGATTTAACTGATTCAAAAAAAAATTTCAAAATCTACTAAATCAATTGGATGGTTAAGATTTGTACTAACCAATTGATTTACAAGAATTGTCTAACCAAAAATAAAATAAAAATTTTACAAGAATTGGAGGATCTTTCGACTCTCTTTGAATGGTCAAGATTTATACACAAATATCAATTTAACTTATTCAAATAAAATTTTGAAATTTGAAATTTCAAAATCTACTAACAAATCTTAACAATCCAATTCTTACGAAATGAAATTGGAAGGGAGGAAAACACCATTGAATTGGATCACTCCAAAAGAGAGAGTTTAACTTCAAACAAAACACCTCTAAACTTTCCCCAATCCTAAACACAAGAGAATGAATAAAACACTCACCATCAAGTTAATGTTAGGCCAATTTAGTTTTCAATTAAATTCTATATGTTGGGCTAGTAATCTTTCTTCGATGCTCCATCCTCTTGGCCTACGGATGAAATGAAATTTTTTGTGCCGACGGTGCTTGTTCAAGCTTTGACTTTCATTGTTGTTGTGTTAATATTGTTTAGAGGTGGTCACAAGGTTGAAGAATGTTGAACCAAAACAGTTTTTAAATATAAAAATTGAATTTTTGGTTGACTTTAACCCTATATTAAAGTGGGACTCATTTGTTGTTTCGAATAAACTTTCGTAGGTTCATATTCTACTTTGAGAGGAGAATAATGTAGTATATTCACTTGTTCAAATCGAGTAAGAAATAAATGAAAAAATAGGTTCCAAAGTAATCCTCTTGAAATATGAAAATATAAGTTGTGTAATGTGGGATTTGACACCAATCCCACATTGGTTGAGAAAAAAATTCTACATGGGCATATATAAGATAAATTTGCTCTATGGGATTGGGCCCCAAGAGGTACCACAATTTTATAAGCGGAGCGAGCGCCTACATGCCTTTGGTTTAACCACACACGCGTCACCACAACCTGACCGGGCTCGGGTACGGGTGTGGGCGTAGGTGTGGTTTACACCAAACCTTATTTTTTTGGATAAAATTTATTTAATTAATTTGGCGAGAATTTCTGAACCGAAATTTAATTTTCAGTATCTATTGGATCACACTGATTCGGATTTTTGCTTCTCTCCAGTCCAAAAATTAAGTTATGTCTGTTCATACAAAACAGTTATACAAGTAGTGTCTAGTGATTCTGGGTTGTGTCTTTTAGTATGTCGACTATCTGAAAAGTCATCAAAGTGTCTATATATACTCAGATTCATTACCATTTTGAATTAATTCATTCATCAGTCCATTTTCGACATTAAGACAAACATCATTGCATTGCATTTCGGCATTAAGACAGTCTGCATTTGGAGAGTGCACCACACAATTTTTAGTTCGTTGGATGAGTAGATTGTAGTGTTACTTCTACTCGTGTAAAGATCATTGTATCCTGGGAGACAGATACTTTATATTCTATAAGCACCGTGTGTGAGGGCGAAATCTGTTTTAAGGATATAATATCAAACACTAGTCTTGATCTACTTCAAATCTTGTTCTACAAACAGATTAGTATTTATATTGGTTTGACAAACAAGTTAGTATTTATATTAGTTTGACAAGACTGTGTAACTGTTTCGTTAATTCTTCTGTAACTGTTTCTGTATTCTGTGTAACTGTTTCGCTCTAGTTCGTTACTGTTTTGTTATATATTACATGTTTCAAATCAGAAATTTCAATAAAATGATTTTACTATATTTGAAATACCAAAAAACAACAAAGAGTTCATCTCCAAAGCGCGTCTACAATATGGCACCATAACTTTGTTTATTTACGTTTGTAGTTACGCTTTTACACACATGATTGCCAAAGGAAATATATTTGTTATTGTTGCTCTTTCCGCAATGTCTATCATTGTGATATCTGGTTTTAAATTTGCTGCAACTTTCCGAGATTTCGTGGCCATTGCTCGCTAGGTGATGCTTCAATCAATCCACGCTACATTTATTCTCTCCCTCAACTGCATGTTTGTGGCGACAAATATAACCATCTGTCCTGTCCTTCCTACAATTTTTGCCATGGTGAGTGAGAATTCTCTTTACACATACAGAGTCCTCGTTTTTCATATTATTTTCAGTGATAACTCGATGGAAGAATATTTGTTTTCTTTTGACAGCTTATTTCATATTAGTTTTGTTATTTGTTTTTTTTTTGACGACTTATTTCATATTAGTTTTATTATTTGTTTTTTATAACTTATCTCATATTCTTCTCTGACTTTGTTCTGTTTTGTTGTCTTTCTAAGCGCTTTTCAATGTTAAAGTCTTGCTTCAAATCAAAACATATTCACGTTTGTCCTAAGATTAAGTAAGCTCTTCTCCCACTATTTTCGTCTCAACTTTTGTATTAAAAAAAAATTATTGCTTTATATATCAAATCTTACTGCTAAGGTTTGTTTTTCTTTTTCCTCTTTTTTTTTCACTTCCTCTGTTGCTCTTTCTAATTATTATTATTATTATTGTTATTATTGGCATTGCAGAAAAATAAACTAAGCAGCATTACAGGGTGGGCAACTTTTTATAATTCTATTGTGTTATGATCCAACGTTGTAGCGGATTTGTGTTTCTTTTATTCATTTCCTGATCCAACTTTGTCACATATATGTCAGGATCAATGTTTTTTAAGGGTCTAATCGTAGTTTTTTTGGTACCTTTAAAAACTTAACACAAGTATAGTTTTTTTTTTTTTTTTTTTTAATAATTTTATCTTACTTTCTCGTTCTTAGAAGCAATGTCTATAAATGAATCAAACATAAATCTATAACTTTTAATTAATTTCGGTATGGTACCAACAATTTAAACATGTAACCCAACCCCTCTTATTTAAAAAAAAAAAATGGGTTAAACATCGATGATACAAGCGTTGAATTTTATTCAAAAAAAGGAAAAAAAACCACAGTTTAAAATCCAATTTGTCAACTCAAAAACATGTAAGCATCTCAGGAAAATANAAAGGAAAAAAAACCACAGTTAAAATCCAATTTGTCAACTCAAAAACATGCTAAGCATCTCAGGAAAATAATAGATTTCAGGTGTAATTTGAGTGAATTTCTGTAAATTAGAAGAGTGTTGCACATTTTAGAAACAAAAATAGTATTAAAATGAAACAAAAATCAGGTGGCACTCAGAACCAGATGTCTAATTCTCTCATTGTTGGCACAAGTGTAACCAAACTGATACAGCTCCGATGTGCAACCCTGGGTAACTTACAAAAAGGGCATCGAAAGGCTACTACTCATATAGAGGAGAAAGAGCGTTGCTAGCAAGACTGGGTTGAGAAATAGGTGAGATCAAGTCCTCATCCGATACCCAAACCCCTGTTTCAACCATTGCCATGGTCTTAAAATCACAAACTCTTTTTAACGGGTCCTTGATGTAGCTCTTGTTTGCTTTTACTTTTCTTCATTTTTGCTTTGACCTGAGACTTTGTCANATCCGATACCCAAACCCCTGTTTCAACCATTGCCATGGTCTTAAAATCACAAACTCTTTTTAACGGGTCCTTGAAGTAGCTCTTGTTTGCTTTTACTTTTCTTCATTTTTGCTTTGACCTGAGACTTTGTCACGAGCGTCTGCACTGTGTTTATAAAGTTCCCAACTGCCATAATTATCAGCAGGATTCCACAGGTAACTACCTGCCATAAGCACACTATATTTGTAATATCAAATCAGCTATGATTTCCACAAGTGCAGCTAACAGCACAGCAAACAGAGGAAAGAATTCAATTTAAGATTTGAAATGCTCAGACTAACAACAGCAAGGTTGTGGATTCAAAATTAAAGGCAATGCCTGTTCAAAAAAAAATTAAAGGCAATGGTTTTTTGTGCATATAATGCCAATTTAACATTTCCAAGTTTTCCTCACCTGCCACGCCGAAGCAACACCAGCCAATGCAGTTTTAAGCAACAATATTCCAACATATGCTTCGAAACCCTGAAACCAAGAACCAAGATAACGTTAATTTACTTCAGGCCATTGAAGCAACACCGCTATGTTTCTCATGATAATGTGTTTGCAATATATGAGCAATCTATTGATGTAGGATATAACTACAGAAGATAATTATACACCTATCAAGTAAACTTCAAGTGTTGAAGGGCTATAAAGTCCACTACTCTTTTACGCGCGTTCTTATTTATCCTGTTATAACATAGTACCAATTTTCTTGTTTCTAAAACAAGGTCGTCTAACTTAAACATAAATCTTTGCCAACAATGCTCGAGATATGGAAAAAGAAATATGCATACATATAACCAAAAATATATTTTTGCATCAAGATGCCAGTGCTGTATAATATTGATGCAGTCTAATAGTCTGAGTCTGTTGTTTCATGTTGCTGGTGCTATTTGTTTGAAGAAGTTGCATTGGTTGTCAAATCAATATCTATTAACACTTGTGCCATATGGCATAGAATTAATATATATAGACGAGTTCTAGATTTTAGCTAATTATATGTTTGTGGCAGTTCGGACTTGTCTTCAGGTGCTATTCATGATGGCCACATAAACAGCTGGGTAGCCTTATCAAACAAAATGGCATTGCAGGTCAGAGGAAACTAACGAAGAATGTGGAATGCATATCATGATGGGGGATATAAGAATGCATGAGAGGACCAAATACTATGTCTTCAATTCTTAAGCAGCAGATGTGGTCACAAAGGAAAGGACTCTCACAAAAATTTGGAAAATTTATGATTACAACAGCATACATTTACGGTATGCTTAAACTATTGTGTGAAAACATGTTTCTAATATCCGCACATGATCACCAAATAACAAATAAAGAAAGGTGTCACAGTGCAAGAGGCTCCAGGCCAGCCACTGAACGTCTGAGGAGACCACCATATAAAAAATCAGAGAAGAATAATAACATTACTGCAGCTTTTAAAGGAAACAAATAGAAAATATAAGCAGTTAAATTCTGCGGCAGTTTACATATACGTCTATAAATTTCCCAATTTGACCCTAATTGCTCATATTTTCTTGATCTAACATGACCTTTATGACACAACATATTTCAAGCCAAATCTTTTCTGTGAAGGGTTCCTTCAGAAACCGAAAGCAAATCTATACACGTTGTCTAAGACTTAGATGTGCAACTAGAATTACCTGTAAGATGAACAATATGGGGCACAACAACCATAGTTGGCCTTTTACTCCAGCAGTTTCTCCCCATACGACATCCATTCTCCTAGCCTACAAGCAATAGTTGGGGAAACGTTTGCATTAGAAACAGAAACCTTGCCAGATCTCCCAAAGCTTAAGTTGGTGACACATATTTTTAATTTCGGCCACCACAAGAAAAAAGAGGAAAAATACTTATATAGAGATCGTTTGTCGCCACAAAAAGATTGAACAAAAGTGTCAACATGCATCAAATAGGAATGCTACCTACCCAAACACTTGGTAGAGTTCCAAAAATTATGCATGATGGAGATGTGTTTCACAAAGAAGAGAAAGAAAATGAAAAAAGAAGGCCATGATGAAGAAGATACTTATTAGAGAATGCACAAAACTTGGTGGTGACCCAAGTAATTCTATCACTGCACCTTTCCCAATGCAATACGTGTATAGAGCCTCTGCCGTTGATATCTATTTTGCAGAAGCATTGCAACTCCTTGCATGATCGCCCATTGCAGGAACAGTTGTACCCCTCTCTGCACAGAACATGATTACTTTCAAGAGTTTAAGAAACACACACCTGACATGTAAATTAGACCCTATAATTACCTGCTTCTGGGCACAACCAGGCTCCCTTTCGATCTCCCAAGTGAGACTGATGAGTGCCATACCCATAGCAAAATAGTGATGGTATATCCACCTACAAAAGTGCAATTATTTACCATCTTGGTTGGGTGTATTTATTAAAAGGTACAACGATGACCAGGAAAAAAGATTCTTTTTTTGGCATCTTTATATAAATCTTCACAAATGGTGTTGAAGTTTAAGGGAATCTGCCTGCCATTTGAAGGACAGAATGCGACACAGCTTTAATGCATTCTTCTTATAGCCATTATAGCCAACAACTAAATCATATTTCACCTTTTCTTTTAATAGGTAAATCTTTTTCCATCCCATTTAGCTCCATGTAGAGCCATATCCTGCATTTTTCAACTCTTGGAGCACAATTTCTCAGAGGTTACTCGCAGACCAATTCATAGTGCAATATCCTTGACAATAATAATTCTAATTTTCAGCAGAGAGCACACAACTACACATACATAGATTTGTGTTTTTTTGTTAATAGAACACATGCATATTGTACCTGCAGCTAACTTTATTTGTTTCACTCATTCCTTCCCCATACTTAGACAGATGGGGAATTAGAAAATAATTTGTTGGTGTTGTGTAATGCAAAATAGCAACAGAGGTAGCTTTTTGTCAACAAACTTGTTCCATAAAATCACTGGTGATGAAACTAATTACCATGGACGAATATCACTTCCATTCACTCTCAAAATGTTCTCTCGCAAAGCCAAGCCTGTGTAAAGAATTAGCAACCAAGCCTGAAAAAGGTAAATTCAGTATGCTTCTGCTGAACGATATGAACTTTTAAAAGTAAAAAAAAATGAAAAAAAACGAAGGATCTAATATAAGGACCTTTTCACATATATCACCTGGTAAAGCTGAACTGGAAATGCAGGAAAACATCCATCCCATATCCAGGACCTCAATACAAGCAGCAGGGATGGAAAAAAAAGAAACAGACATGCAGTTCTATCCTGTCCATGAGAGACACGAAAGTACTTAATCACCAATAAAGAATTTTAAAATATCCAGCGCTACTTTGTTGGCAAGTAATGCAAGTAAGTGACATAAAGATGTGGTAAAGAGCAGTGATGGAAAATATACGCAGTTCTATCATGTCCATGAAAGTAGTTAATTACTGCACAAAGACATAAAATCTCCGCAGCATGACAACAGAAGGATCATATCCAGATCTGTAATTGAGATGGGCACCACGAAGGAAGAAACCTCACTAAATGCTGAGAGTCTAGAGACCTTCCTTTATGAGAAAGTTAGTGTACAAGCCGCATGTGAAGCATGTTTATGGCCAAACAAGAATGAGTAAACAGATTACTTTAGTATCTGTGACGAAGCACAGGAAAACTAACAAGGTAGTAAGGAAGATATAAGCCTAAACATTGGCATTGGGTCTGACTGGCCGGTCACCATCATCGTCTTATCCTTTTAAAGTAGAATTAAGATAATTCCTGGCTCAACGACCAAAATACAATAACAATCCTGCTCTGCCCCAATTTAGCATATCAGCCCCCTCACAACAATCTAATGTCAACGGCTGATCAGAATGCCCTCCATCTCATCAACTTTACTCCCAACAGTTTCGAGATACATGGAGGAATTGTTACAGCTAAAATTCCACCTTTCGCAGTCACCACATTTGAAGGAACCCTCACCAATTCACAAGAGATTGGTTTCCTCGGCCAGGAAAATGAGGCACTAGGACTCATCTGCTCCTCATACGCACTTAATGCCCACTTCACTTTCAACTGAACATCTAGTGTAACTTTAATGATGAAATTTAAGCAATAAGCAGTGATCTAGATCAAATGAAAATATGGGGTGACGCTATGGAAAGCTGAAGCAAAGAACAAACTCTGAAACTATTGTATTCCTCTTTCACTTTCAGCTGCACATCCTTCCTATTAGCACGAACATTAATTGGACCAAGAAACATCCTCAAGAAGCGCCCTGTGAATGATCAAACAACATCAATTACACCCCTTTATTCCTAACTAAATCACGTAAACATAAATAACAGAGCAACAAATGCGCACCATGAGATTTGCTTGGAAGGAATGCAGCCGCCTCTCCTTCACTCAATATAGACCTAGCTCTGTACAACTCTTCTTCCAACTAGACAACCAAACAATCATAAGTAAACAAAAGATTATTGCAAACATGTAATAGCAAACAAAAATTAGCTTTCTTGTTACTTTTTCGGCGTGATTTGAATCAAAGTCGGCTTTCTTGATCGATGAGCGGAGTCTGTGGATGTTGGAAACGAGCGATTGGGCTCGCTGGCGGAGAGAGTCTTCTTCGTGCGTGGTGCGTGAGATTAAGGAGGCAGCTGAGTCTTGCAACTCCTTGGCTAGCTCCACCGTTCCTGATACTTCTTCCTCCACTGTTTGTTTCGAGTTCTCATCGACCCTAGAATCACCCATCCCAAATCGATGGATTGAGAGAGAGAGAGAGAGAGATAAATTGATTTCTAAATTTCACGTTTTAGGTCTCAGGATCTGCATATAAACCATGGATAAATTATTATATAATATGCAAATGAAGTGTGGTTACGCAAGTATTGATACGCAACTGGTGGAATGGAATTGTGGAAGAGAATCGAGAGAGAGAGAGAGAGAGAGAGAGATAAGGTAAAGAAGATGTGATGGTCGGAGGTGGAAGGCGCAAGCCGACGGGAGTGATCCAATTTGTTGGAGAATGGTTGTGGACTGGACTGGACTCTAGTTTTCCATTTCAACTATGGGCCTCAGGCCCAATAGTTCTTCTCTCTCTTTTTTTTTTTTGGTAATTTGTAAGGGTACACCATATTAGATTTATTTGACAAAAAATACACACTAAAAAATATAGGGTTATTAAATACTTAATTTTGATACTTATTTGTATCCAAGTACATAATTTGAATTTATCTATTTTTATTGTGATATTTTTACCCTCCATTAATCCATATGTGTTTAATGCGCACTTTTCTTTAGAAAGTGATACATTAAACATCTCCTAGTTTTATGGAATAACTTTATTATATATACGTTTTTATATATACATAAATTTATGTATTTATGTATATTTATATATACATAAATACATATTTTTATATATATTTAAATATACATAAATATATGTATATATATAAATACTTATATATGTATATACTTGTTGTCAAATCTCTTATCTAAATTTTGAATTATCTTTTAAATTAATTTAATATCCGAATAGTATAATAGTGTAACAATAATAATGTAACAATAAAAATGTAACACTAACAATGTAATAGTATAACAAACTATTTACACAAAATATTATACTATTACATTTTGTCAAACATATAATTTCATTCAAAATAGTTCATCTGCATTTTGAATTTGTTATCATATACACAAAACTACTGAACATTGTTTTTGTTACAGTGTATTTGTTACACTATCTTTGTTACAGTGTTTTTGTTACATTGTTATTATTATACTATTACATTATTCGGATATTAAATTAATTTGAAAATAAAACTATTTTTCAAATAAAAAAACGCTTAAATCAAGATACATTAAATATAATTTGAAAACAAAATTACTTTTCAAAAAAAAATACGCATGAATCAAAGTGCATTAAAGATAATTCAAAATTTAAATAAGAGATTTAACAACAAATATATATATATATACATGTATTAACAAATACACATGAATCAAGATGCATTAAATACGTATTTATATGTATTAACAAATACACATAAATCAAGGTGCATTAAAGATGAAAGATTTTGAATTAAATGACCCTAAAATGGGCATTTATATATTTTTAACTCATATTTTGTTTTATGTATTTTTTGTCAAATAAATTTAATTAAGTGTACCGACTTCCAAAGAACCTTTATTTTTTTCCTTTTAAACAGTACTGTAGTTTTATTTTTCTTTTCTTTTTGGTAATGATGAAGATGATCCATCAAGTTTACTCTTGCAATAATTTAGATGAAGGTAATCATAATCTTATCAACAATGTTAAAGATAATCAATCACGCCTTTGAATATCTCTAATTAAAGTTCCTAAGATGAACGATGACAATACTCACTAAAATTTATATAAAAAAAAATTATGATTATCCTTAACGGTTTTAATAATAATGACATGAGCTCAATCGATTTTGTACGTGATAATGTGAGCAGTTTTCACAGCAAAAACTTATTTATCAGCATTTCAAAATTTAGAAAAATTTAAAAACTCAGTGAAAAACAATGAAAATGCCATAAAGGGAGAAAATGTTGTTGGAGAAAAACAACGAAATGCCATAAAAACCAAAACTAGTTTTTGTGAGGGAGTAAGAAATGGAGGTCCATGTTTCATTGGGTAATCAAGTGTTGTTGGAGAAAATATTTCATGTTGTGGTTATTATGTGATGTAATCATTTAATGATAGGTTAATACGAGTAAATTTCGTAAAAATTTAATAATTATTAATA